GTCTCTAGGAGTCGTAGAGAAGGCCCGAGCTGAGCCCCTGCAGTTGGGTTATTATTAAAAGGCTAGGGATAATTATAGGTAAGTGGGTAAATAGTAATGACACATTTTCAAATACATAACAATAAAATTAAATTGAATGAGTTAAAAGAAACACCTTTTATTTGGTAGTATCATTTTATTTGGGGCTAAACGAAAAGCACGTTTACAAACTTTCTTATGAAACTGTAATTTATTAAAATGGAATGCTTTTGGTAGCATAGGTATACACTTTATCTAATTAAAAGGATCAAAATCTGGTACCTATATCTATTTATTAATGCAAACAGTACAAGTAGATATTTTTTAATAAATATTGAAATAAAATCTGTATTTTATCTTGAGCCAATGATAACTTCCATTAGATTATAAATATAATTTTATATAAATTATACTTTTGAGAGTACAACAGCCATAACATCACCATAATAATTATCATTATTCTATTATTTGCATCATTTTCATCATAATACACAAAGAAATAACTTCATTTATTGTATTTCGACATGAGCATTTATTTATACATATATGGCTACGAGCTCGTAATAAGCCAGATCACCAACAATTTGGTATATTATTTTACAAAATTTAAAAGGAAACACTTCAGTCCCTTAGGTATCAATACTCATTATTATTACCACATTCTTAAAAATAAAAAAAAATTAAATTTGAGAAAATCATCAATAGAAATATCTCTAGCAAATAGAAACGTCTTTAGCATAACTAAAAAATCTTTATAATTATAGTAACAAACCGAAAAAATGTTCTTTAACTGAATTCCATAAAGTAATTATATTATTACAATCTGAGCTAAATAAGAAAATAAATAAGCAAGTACAGATGTAAGTGTTTTGTAAGCTCTGCTGAGGCGAACAAATCATATTCTGTCTCTTTCTTATCTTATTCCCGAGAGAATGTGTGAGAGGGATTGAATTTTTGGTGTCACCATTTTGTATTCGTTTCTATAAAAATAATATTTTTTGCAGAAATAATTTTATAATTGTTTAACTAAATTCAATATAATGTGAAATTAATCACTGGCAATAAAATTATGAATTACTTTATATCTCGTTTACTTTTAATTATTTTTAATAATATATACGTAATGATAACGTACATTAATTTTACACAGACGCTTTGTTAAATCATGCTTATAACTAGGTCAAATAAAGAATAGGATTGAAAATAGCGGCCTTTGTTAAATATTCTGATATGCAAAATTTCTTGCCGATATATTTATATCTTAGTCCAGTCAATGCAAGGAAAAAACGGGAAACCCTGGCAATTCTGCCAAACAGCACCAATTTACAACAAAATTTGGAATTTGGTTCTACTTACCCTCTACTTAAAATTTGTCAATGTGCCGAGGATTGCTATTTTCCTGGGCGTGAATGCCACCACTTCTCGGGGATTATGTTCTTTTTATTAAAAATAAGTATGGGAATTTATAGATGGACTAATTCTAAGCAAAAAAAAAATAGTGAAAGTCAATACTTTTCGACTTATTCGAATTTCTAAAAATTCGTAAAATTGCCTTTCCACAAATAGAATAGAAAAATTTTCAACAAAAAACACGTTTTCAGAAGGTTTTTCACGAATAACTGAAAATAAGTAAGTATTTTACGAAAAACATAATTTCGAGGAAAATTTTAGCTTATAAGAAAAACAAATAAAATTCTAGGTTCAAAATATCACTCGACCCAATACTAACGGAGTAATAGCTCGGTCGGTTCTTCTTCGTCAAACGCCAAAACCGAAAGTTTCAACGTGAAATATCCAAACAACAATGCATTTTTCAGGAAAAACTTATAGATTATTTTTAGAAGAGCTTGAAAAACCTTTACTTTTATTTTTAAGGAAGTTCCGTAGGAATTAAGCGAGTTATGATAAAGACGAAATTGGTCACTATTACTCCGTTAGTATTCAATAAAGTAGTATTTTAAAACTAATAATTTGTTTATTTTTTTATAAGTTACAATTGAACTTCAAATGTTTTTTTTTCATAAAAACTTGGTTTCATTTATTCATGAAAAACCGGCAATAACTTATTTCTTCCCGTTGAAAAATTGACGCGTCTACTCTCGAATAAATCAAAAAGTTGACTTTCAGTAAAAAGTTTATAGAACAATATTTGCTTAGAATTCTATACATTCCTATACTTATTTTTAATAAATTATTTTTCATCCCCGAGAAGGGGTGACGTCCAACCCCAGGGTAAAAGCAACCCTCGGCACATTGAAAACTTTGAAGTAAAGGATAAGTGTAACCTACACCCAAATTTTGCTGCTAAACGGTGCTGTTTGGTAGAATTACTAGCGAAAACCGTGCATTGACTGGACTATCTCTCGAAAATGTACTTTTATCTTACTACGCCTGCCTCAGCAATAAGCCTTATCTTTTTCTATTGCTAAACTTTAACTCAAAAATTTATTGACGTCTTTGACTAAGGAATTTAGTGGATACGTTTTATAATTACTTACAATTAAACAGTTATAATGAAATAAAAAAAGTTCTGTTTTTTCTGCTGTGCACACTAGCTTATGCAAATACAGACAGAAATATTCTGAAGTGAGAGATAAATAGGAACGCCGCCATTCTAATCCCGATTTTTAATTGGCCGAAAAGGGAATATGCATGCAATTCAAATAAGGCAATTTTTTTGTATAAACTCTATACTTTATATTTGTCCCTCCATCAATTTTTTTTTATAAATTGTTTTTCTGATCAAGACATCATTTATTGAAAAGTGCGAAAACCCTGTGATATACTGTGCTTTTAACCTCTAATCTACATCATTGTAACTGCCAACTTATTTGTTTTGTAGATATAGATAGATAACACACCAGAGAAGTCCAAAATGGGGAGGATTTAAAATGGGTGTGCAAGATGGTTATTTTTTTATTTTTATTTTTTTGATACATTATTTACTATTTTTTGACGTTGAATAATACTAAATTAATCTACTAAATTAATAAATAAAAAAGTCAGGCATATTCCCTATTGCTGAAAACTTTTTTTTCGAATAATATGTATTTCGAAGAGTTAATTGATTAATTATTGAAAACAATGTTACAAACATAATGTAATTTATTTTATTATATTAAGATTGAATCGTTAACAATAAGCGAATACAGAATTTTATTTTACTAAAACGATCACAAAGATTTCTGATCAATCAACACACACGTCACATTTATGTGAAAATTATTGATCAGATGTGCTAATCCAATAACACGATTTTTAGCGCATTTTCTAATACAATACTATATATTACACTTTTAAAGAAATTTAGGTTGTTCACTAATTAATACTTTTCTTCTTCTGGGAGACAAACGGAATGTTTTTTTATAAATAAATTGTCATTGATAAGAATATTTGTCTAATGTATTGCGATATACTTTTTAAATATATAACATATACCGTACCGTACTTATACGTGGGAGGACCCGTTGAATACATCAAATTTCATTTGGGACTAATACATAACGTTTTTTTTATTACTTAGCTTATAATGAATTTTGACGAAAGACCACTTCATCTTGACTTAATAACCAACACAAGTCACAACTACACACATAATCATAATTAAACATTATTAACGAATGAAAGCTTAACACTAGCAACTGTAATGCATAAAACAAGTTTTGGAAGATTAGAACGAAAAACCAAATAAGCAATTAAAAATAAAACAATACGCTAGCAAATTCTTCATGAAATATGATTATGAGTAAGTAGTTAAGATATACTTAAAAAGAAGAAAGCCTATGCATAATGAATTTGATATTGTTTTACATATTATATTAACAAGTTATTTCCGTGGCGTTTATAGGAAAATAATTTTGCTGACACACAGAGAATAATAATAAGTGCCGTGCCACGTGGCCAAAATTGAATAGCATTGTTTTAAATATGGTTATTAGACGTTGTGCAGACTTATATACCAGGTGGGACCGAATTTTCATAACTTTTTCGCTTTCGCGATCCCTTTAAATTTCATAATTGGAAAAAAGCTGTTTCGAAGAGGTGACGAGAGCTAAGTGAAAGCGATAGTTAACTTACACTTTCTTGTGATGTTGGCAATACCGTAAATGAAATATTATATAATGCATAAGCGTCACCAGTCCATCGCAGAATACTACGTCAGATGTAAAATTCATATTTAATGCGCTCTAGAATATACTATACCACAGTTAAGTATCATAACTATGATGGTATCAAACAAGAATATTATAAATAAGGTGGATAAAAATTCGAGTATTGTTTTATGTGATATAGATAATGTTTTCCGGAACTTCATTAAATACAAATTCATTTAGTAGAATCTATATTATGCTGTAATGGTAATGACTAGCGACTAGAGAGTTGGTCAGTTAGTTTTAGCAAAGCACAAACAAAACTATGCTTACAGATTAATTCGGCCATAATGGCCTTAGATATTGTGCCAATTTAACATGTGCCAATGTAAATAGAAGCTTACTTAAAGAAAATATAAATTAATGTATGATTCCATAAATAAATTGCGAATAGTTGTTGATTTGCAGGAATAGCTTTTCTAAGTTTCGTCTTTACGAAATATGTAATAATTTATCGAGAACTAAGATAATGTCCTAGTTATATTATTTCGATGAAACATTATATAGAATTGAATTGGCGCCAATTTATTCCTTCACCTTAGGGAGATAGCTTTAATGTCACTATATTTGTATCTTACTTATAAGGCTATTATTAGTTGAAGAACACTTTCTTCGGCGACAAATAGTCTAAGAATGACTTAAAAAAGATTCGAGTGTCTTTTTAGAGATTTATAAAAACAAAATAGTTTATAATTTGTAAGCATAGTTTGGCGGTAAAAGCTAAGATAACCGGATACATTGACTTACACAATAAAAAGCTCTTATTGAAAAAAAAGCATTGTAAAATATTCGATTACTTAATCGTGAATAAAGACAACACTGTAGAAGTGAACATAAAACGTTTTAACCTAAATTACTAAAAAAGGAAAACTACAGTTGACTGTAAATAAACTGGGTCAGTTGCTACCACGGAACTCTGATTTGATATTCTCAAAAAGTATAAAACTTACATCTATCAAAAATATAACTACAGAAAGTGCGTTTCGTGGTGATTAAAATGAACTAGAATTTATTGAGATTAATCAATTAATTATTTTTTTATTTAAAAAAAAAACCAAGGAAGAATTGTTTTCCAATTGTGGTATTCTGAAGTAACGAACGAAGCAAAAATACTTACGTCTGAGAAAAATATGGAGAAAAACTAAGGAAATGATAAGAAGTATCAGACTATCTTCATTTTATAAAAAAGAACGATAGTCGCGACTTTATTAAAAAAATAGCAAATTGTTAGCATTGCTGTTCTTGCTCAATCACAAAGTAAATTACAAGTACTTTAGAATATTTTTTTATTTATATTAATAATTATGATACACACTTAATGTTTAATAGTTGTAAGTTTAATACTTTTTGAAAAAATCGAATTACAGTTCCAAGGTACTAGTGGTTGGCCCAGTTTTTTGCAGTCGAGTGTATTTAACGTTTAAGCTAAGATTAACGTTTACTTTGACTTACACAATAAACAGCTCTTACTGAAAAAAAAACATTGTAAAATATTCGTTTACTTAATCGTGAATAAAAATAACTAACACTGTAGAAGTGAACAAAAAACGTTGTAACCTAAATTACTAAAAAAGGAAAACTAACTTAACATTTTGTTACTTAACGCAATACACTTATTCCTCTATGGTTAATTTGCTCAGACCGTTCAATTGTTTAACGTTACCGTTTTCGACTACTGTCTTGTCGTTCTCGTCACTCAAGCATAAATCATCATCGTCATCTAGAAAAAAAAAATAGTTTATAAAACACCCAATTAAAGTAGTTTAAATATTACTGAATATATAAGTTGTTTACGATTTTCTATAAGGCGTTTAGAAAAATAACTATTTACTAATACTGTAATGCAAAAAATGTGTTGGATAAAAAAATTCACAGTGGCGTAACAAAGACACATTTAATAAACCTGGGTAGGTATATCATAAGAATATAATACATATAATCTCACAGCAGTTACAGAAATGTTAAAATTACGGATTGATGGTGAAAACTCGTAAAGACTTGTTACTTATATTTATATTTGTAATTTGATGAAAAAAGAATAACTAGTCCAAGGTTAATATTCACTTTATTGCTAAGGAGGTTAAGGTTTTAAATATTTATACAAACCTGAACTGACGTCTGACTGATTTCTCGGACTGAAACGGCAACCTTTAGATAAATAGCTTTTTAACTTGCCCAGTGATGCCAATATAAGTCTATAACAAAAGAAAAATAGAACAAATAAATAAATAATAATAAATATTTACACAAATTAGCCTAGTAAGCACTGTAGGCCCCAAAGTAAGCACTGTAGGCTTGTGTTATGGAATACTAGGGTAACGGATAGAATACATATATAAAAATATTTATATAGAAATACATATTTAACATCCATGACTGGAGTACAAATGCTCGAATTCATCACACAAACATCAGCCGCCACCGGGGTTCGAACCCGGGACGTCTCGAATAGGTGACACCTTGAAACCCGGCGTACAAATCACTCGACCACTATAAAATATCCCTAATAAACACCGGGTAACACCGCGAGGGATACAGCTAGTGTACAAAATAATTATGTATTCTATCCGTTACCCTTTACCCTAGTATCCAACAGCACAAGCCTTACAGAGCTTACTTTGGGGCTAGGCTAATTGGTGTGTGTTAGAAATATTTATTTATTTATTTAAGATGATAATGGTCAACTCACCCTAAGAAAGGCGGGCTAGGCGACAGAGGTCGCGACAGATACTCCGGGTGGAATTGCACAGACACGTAATACGGGTGACTTTCCACCACAGCCACTTCCATTCGAGTGCGGGCCTCATCCTACAAACAAAAAACATTTTAACTTCGTACGCGTGGAGTTAGTTATTTGCACATACTTTTTGACCCAAAAAGGGGGTTTATTTCTAAAGATACATTGTTAGTACACCTTTACAGCATACATGTTAAATTTCAAGTCTCTCACATCAAAAACATACAAACTTCCAACCCCCGTATTACCTCCTTAGGGGTGGAGTTTCGTGAAATTATGTTCAGAGGCGAATTATGTTCTATATGTTCAGAGGCGTCTCCAGCCCATATGGCGCCCGTGTGCAAAATTACCCTAGCGCCCCCTAGTAAGCGTGTGATCACAATGGAATGGGTAAAAAGAACAAGTAAAAACACATAAATCAAACTGTCAAATTTCAAAAATGAATAATAACTTCTATTGTTTGGAAATTAAATTTGAAGAAGTAAGTCACACGGCCGTCGTATGCGGCAAGTGGGGCTTCGTAGCGAGCGGCGTCGGTACTCGGCGCCACCTAGGACTTTGCGCCCGTGTGCAACGCACACCCTGCACCATAGGTAAAGACGCCTGTGTATGTGTTGACCCGACTTCTTAATAATATTCGTGTCAAATTTGAAGTAAATCCATGTAGTACTTTTTGTGTTTATCCTAGACAGACAAACAGACAAAAATTCTAAAAACTATGTTTTTAGCTTCGGTATCGATTGTAGATTACACACCCCAAGTATTCTTTTAAAAAATATTCAATGTGCAGTTTTGACTTTCCTACCATTTTATTATATGCATAGATAATACTATATATAGGTTTCACAATTATAAAACTATTTCAGATAGTGGGTTGTTTCAGATATTTAAAGTATTAGTAAAGGAACAGTGTAATATTAACCTCCTTACTACAAAACATAAACTTAAGTTAAGCCCGGGCTAAATCTGAAGCTTTCACTTTGTTTTGCCATAAACAAGACAGACAACATAAGGTTTAAATTGTAGGCGACTTTCCTACTTTTACTTTCATTTAATAATATTTTACATTAATATTTATTTATATAATTTTATATCTATACTCAAACAATATTTACATAAATTCAATATTTAAGTATGTTTACGTTTCTATTAAAATATTAATTCATGGCCAGCGTATACCAGCCGGACGACGTAGTCCGTCCTGCCACAAACATGCACACCCTATTGTCTCCTTTCAACTTGGTAGGCGGGGCCTCCCGGCCGGCGCGCAGCGCGCTCGCACCGAAGTCACGTTCACGTACGCCAGTCATAATGTACTCTATGCGCCAGTCGAAATCTCATATCGGCACTAGACGCACGCTCATTTTTGCTCCGCGCTCCCTCGCTTATATTTCGCTAAGCTTATATTTATTGTTAATGTTTGTGTGCGCTTTTACGATCTCTTCCGAACTTTCTTTCTTCTGCTTGAGACTATCTGTGCTTACTCCTTCTGTACTTTCCTTGTATTTGCTTGTGAAATAAACTGTGTTATACCGTGAATTGGAGTGTTGGACTTATTTCTCGCCGCCTCCCTACTGGATCACAGCTAAGTACAATATACATTGATTGCGGCCGATATTAGTCTTACTGGCCGGACAAGTTTATCACTAGCATAACTAAAAAATGAAGTGGGTAATGGGAGTCATAAATTGTAAATGTATTAAATTCATTAATTTACCTGGATTATATTTTACTACTTTATTGAGTGTAAGAATTATATAAATTGTAATTGAGTGACTATTAAAAAATAGTCATTTTATTTATTACTTAACATTAAATTGACTAAGCTTTAAATGACTACTAAATAAATTGACATTGTAAATAATATATTTCACATTTAATTGGCTATTGATAATTGAATTGAAATTTATATAACTAACCACAAAAATTGACTATGGGTAGGCTTAAAACCAGCTGCACTGTGCCTATTCATATTTGCTATTCGTAATTATCTCTTATCTATTAGACAAGTCCGTCCGTCCATCCGTGGTGCTGTTTCAGCGGCCAAACCGTAAGAGATAGATAAAGAGAATGTTTAAGTTATAAGTTGAGAATAGTCTGATAAGACTACAAACCGGATGTGAGTAACGTAACACTTCCGGTTTTCGAGAAATCACGTGATTTCTATTTCAAACGAAACCACACAAAATCTCCGAAGTTCTCAATTAATTAAATACATTTTTTTTTTGGTGAACTTTTGGTTCACTGGTTTGCTAGTTAATTTTAAATAATGTAATAATAAGATAAGAAAATAAAGCATTTGTATTTGTGTATTTGTAAGACTAACTTTAGTCCGCTTTGAAATAATGCGGTTAGAAGCTTTTCTGGATTCGGCTAAGGTACTGATTGTGACCCAATAAAGATAATTATTACCTTGCCAATGAACCGCAAGCCAGCAGCCTCTAGCCTCTCTATGTATTCTGGATTCACTTCATACCGATGCCTGTGGCGTTCTTCTATCACATCTTTGTTATACAAACGAGCTGAGAAAAAAATAATAGTATTAAAACTATATCTAAAGATAAATATAGTTTGTGTCGGTTTTAACAATCTCTGTATGAGAAGCAAGCAATCGCAGATATGTGGTTGAATCACTACAGAAAAAAGACTGTCCTGGTATAAAAGAATGTAAGAATTTTGTTGTTTTTAATTACTGTAACATAATCTTCGATCAAGCAACAAAATATTGTAACTTACCTATCACACTTGGTTCCAAATAAGTCTTTCTCTTGCCTAAGCGCATTGTCCCACCTAGATTTCCTGGATGATGTTCAGGCATATCTATTATTAGTGGATCCTCACACTTCAGATCTACTTCTGTTGTATTTGCACCTCTCAATCCAAGAACGTTTCTAGCGAATTCTATGACGGCCGCTTGGAGTCCAAGGCAAATTCCGAGAATAGGTTTTTGTGTCTCACGGCACCATTGGCATGCCTCTATTTTTCCTTCCATTCCCCTTTGTCCGAAACCGCCAGGTACAATGACACCACTAAAATATAATTATTATTACACAAAGGTACAATATAAGACGAATGCCAAAATATTTGAAATTATCTTTCGCATTTGAACTTACTCGCTTTTACAAAGGTCTTGCCAAGCTTTATGATATCCGACTGGATCATCAATTTTCGTCTTTTTTTCCAAATTCACAGCCTCTATGTATGTAAGGTTCAACTTACAGCCAGCAGCTATGCACGCGTGTTGAAGAGCTTTTGTTACACTGGCATAGCTGTCTTGTAATTTAGTATATTTACCGACTAGGGCGATGTTCACTTCTTTGCGCAGATTATCAACACGTTTGGCAAGATTACGCCACTTTTGCATGAACCTGAATCATAAATTTATTGCTCAGTAAGGTTAATTACCTAATAATATTAATCAAACATCGGAATTGGTAGTGGGCAGGCCACATAATTAGAGAGATGAGGGAGAAATCGACGAAGAAGACTACAGAATGGAGCTCTAGGTTCAACATTAAAAGAAAATGCAGAAGACCACTCAAAACATGGTTAGATGACAGAAAAACGGGAACGGGAACCCTCTGACTTAGAGTTGAGAGACAGGTCTGAGTCGTGTCTGAGTGGAAGAAGCTGTAAGAGGTCAACATGTCAGCTGGACATGCTGATATGGTTAATGATGTGTATTAGCTTTAAAGTATTTTAAATGGACCTATATAGGTCCAACAACAAAAGCTTTTGAATTTTGGTATTTTAAAGGTTAATAACAACACCATATTTTGCTTAATTAGAAAAAAAAATATATTACATACCTTCCAGGACGTGGCATAGATATGTTTAGCTGTAACCTCTCATTTATATACTGCACAAGTCCTTGGGATTCCATTAGTAATGGTACATGGTATACAGAACTTAGGTCATGAATACACAAAACCTTAAAAGTAAATAAAACTTATTAAGAAAACAATGAAAGTGAGTGTTACAATTAATGTTTGCCTATAACTTGTTACTTTGTTATACACAGACAGTTACAGCAGAGGATATGTTCTGGATAACATACTTGGAACAACTACAATATTTCATTGTCTCATTTTGTTTATGTTGTTAATCTAAAATCTAGGAACTGAATCGTTATGCTACTTCATCACAAGTTATGACCACAAAGGCCATTCATGATACAAATTACGTGAGTTATGTTTTATTTAAAATTAGTTTTAAAACTATAAATCTAGAATATTTATTTTTCAAATGGTGATTAATTTCAATTAGTATTCAAAACTATGACATAAAGATTGTACAGATGTACATTATAATACCATAAATTCTACATCTTAAAAAACTTCTTAAAAATATTCATTCATTCTCACCAACTATTGAAATGTTTTGATAATTCTTTAAGATATTTTTGTTAAAGCGTTCAATAAACATTTATTATACCTATTTTACTAGTATGCATTACATTATGCTTCATACAATTGTCAATGTAGGCTTCCAAATAGTGTTGAGTAGGACTTACAAGAGGCAGTAGATTTTTCCCGGACATGATGTCAAAATGTAAGAGTGGCTCAAAATTTTAAAATGTACTACTTCACATTAAATGTCCCGATAGTCGCGTCTCGTTACTCTCTCACTCTTCGTAAGTCTGAGAGAGAGCGAGGCATGACATTTCATTTAAGTCCTCCACGCACTATCCATCTGTATCTCTATCTCTTTTACGTGTATAGCGCTGTCCTGCATGCTGGATCCAGCAAGATTGATTGTGCGTAGAGGACTTTAGTCACGTAATTTACTGTTTCGTTTGTTTGAATATGTTCAAAAACATTGACGTATTTTTTTTTGCTCAAATGCTTACGACACTAACTAATAATACTGACAATTTTAATTAAGGATACGATTATTTCAAATATAAAATAGTAATACATGGTTGCGTTCAGAACTTACGCTCCAGGTGCTACTCATGCACACAAACGTAATGTCGAGCTTCTGTATGCCTCAATGTCATATTTGTACTCGTCACTTCAAATGTATTGCCAAGCTTCAATACGCCTCGCCTCATTTGAAGTGGGACATTGTACTGGCTCAGTACAAAAAAGAGGCTACTCTTACAAACTCTTTTTCAAGTTGCGTCCTACCCAACACTACTTCCAAAATTATATGACTAGTTTTTTTTTTCTCAGGCATGTATTATCATACAAACCTTCATGAATCACTCTTTTCAATAACTGAAGATTGCAGAAAATGAAGAGGCAGTGAGTGGGAGTAACTTTGTTTTATAATATGTAAAGATTGTGCTTCCATATATACCTGTTCTGGTGCAACATGACAGAAATTGGATATCTTCTCTTTGACTGTGTGATTGATTGGTTTTTCTGAACGACACAATATCAGGTCAGGTGATAATCCTAATCCTCTAAGCTCCCTCACAGAAGACTGTGTTGGTTTTGTTTTAGGTTCACCAGTAGATTTTGGCTGAAAAACAATATTTGACATAAATCTACAATTTTTAAACTATCATTAGGTTTATCAAGTTAAATGTTTATTAATACATTTTCTCTATTCAATTTAATACCGTTCTTGCTAATATTATCAGTCAAGTGGATCTTACCATTGGCACTAATGAGACATGGGCACAGCAAAAATTCTCCCTTTTTACCCTAAATTGAAATTGTCTGAATGCTTCAACAAATGACATACTTTCTATGTCACCAATGGTTCCACCAAGCTCCACAATACATACTCTGGGTGGGGCATTATTTGCTGTTACAGGAATGTGAGCTACTCTCTGGACCCACTCCTGTATGGCATCGGTAATGTGAGGAATAACTGTAAGAAAAATGTTATAGTTTAATGCATTTACAAGCGTTGAGTTCTGATGAGTTTTCCTATGTGATCCAGTCCCTATAGCATGAGCACTGCAATATGATATATAGCTTATTTTTATCACACTCAATTGTCATATTACTATGGAGTTTTGAAGTTAGATGCAATAAAAAACGTGATATGATGTTAATTGTGGGACAGCACCAGTAATGGCTTGGAATAGAACAGTTTACCATGAATTACCCTTTGGTAAGTTAACATAAAAATTCAAATTATGAATGAATTGCATTATGTAGGTAAGCACATATTATTATATCATAAAACTATAAGCAATATCAATGTTTATAAGTCAAACCTTGTACAGTTTTCCCAAGATAGTCGCCTCGTCTTTCCCTTTCTATAACCTGCTGATATATCTTGCCGGTGGTGATATTGTTGTCTCTATGCAAAGTGATATCCAAGAAGCGTTCGTAGTTGCCAAGATCAAGGTCAACTTCACCTCCGTCATCCAAAACGTAAACTTCACCTAGAGAATAAAAATAGACATGCAGATCGTATCATTATGTTGCGAGTACGACGTACGCAAATTTGAACAACCATGCGGATAATAAACATAACCAAAGATTTGCAAGGAAAGGTATCATGACTCACTTACCATGTTCATACGGCGAGAAGGTTCCAGCGTCTATATTTATGTAAGGATCAATTTTAATTGAAGTAACATCAATACCACAACTCTTCAAGATTGTGCCAAACGAGCTGGCAATCACACCTTTCCCTACACCACTTATCACTCCACCGGTGACCAAAATATATTTCATGTCCGGCATGTTTTCTTGATTTTATTTAATGCGCGGCTTGAAATAATAACGAGTAAATAAAACTCCAGTTCAAGTTATTAACTCGCGCAAGTAAATTAAAAAAAAAGTCGCAATTAAATCACATTTGAGTGCGCATGCGAATACGCGCGCCTGCTTTGCTTGCATGCGTATTATTGAATGAAATGAATGATTGATTTAAACATTGATTGATCAATGAATGAATGATACTGCATAGTGATTATCGATCTACAAAACGATTTTCTTGGAAAGCGATTCACAGTTCACTGCACCTATATAAGCTGGCCTTCCAGAGACAGTCATATACAGCTTCAACCGACCCCCTGCCGCGGGCAGGGGAGTCCATCGGTGTCGCATAGGGTGTTAGGACCTGTGGCTTCACGCCACAGTCAGGGCACACCTACACACACTATACATAACCTTACACACATCACAATGGACATTACTCGTCAGGTAATGTCCTTCTTCTCCGCCCTAGGCCTCACCCTGGACGAGGCCGCCATCAGCGAGCTTGTCGCGAGAGCGCGCCCCTTGCGCGACTCTCCCGCCAGCCCCTCCCCCGAACCCCCTCGCCCCGACACCCCCTGCCTCCCCCCGAGCGCGGGCAAGCGCCCCGCCTCGAGCCCGGTTTCGACATGCGACTCCGACTCGACCATAGTGTCGGCGTCCGATGACTCCGTGTTCACCACTGTGGTGAGCAAAAAGAAGAAGCGGCGCTCCAAGCGCCGTGCAGACACCGCGTCTCCAACGGCGCCCCTCTCGCCTTCCGCTCTCCTGTCCCAGACAGTTGATGAGCCCTCTGTCCCTCTCACCCCTCTCACGGTCGCCCAACCGACCACACAAACACACACAACACACACCACAAAACCACACAATAGGTGCACCGCCGCACCTATCAAGGCAAAGCCGCCGCCGCCCGTCTTCCTGCGCGATAAGGCGCAATGGGCGAAGGTCGCGGACCTTTGCAAAGCACACAACATTCACTACACACAGGCGTCGAACACTGGTCACGCCATCAAAATCACTACACCCACCATTGACACGTTCAGGAGCCTCACAAGGCTTCTGACCACAAACAAACTCCCCTATCACACTTACGCTCTCCCCGAAGAGCGCAAAGTCCGCGCGGTACTCAGAGGAGTCCCCTTCGAGCTCTCCAACGAGCTCATTCTGAGCGACCTAACCGCTCAAGTCTTCCCAGCCGAGGCAGTGCACAAATTGCACAGCCGGACTGGGAAACAATACCCGTTGGCCCTTGTCATTTTGACCTCGGTCCCGGCAGCTAGGGATATTTTCAAAGGTCCCATAACAGTCTGTAGCCTCGACAATATCAAAGTCGAGGCCCCACACCGACGAGGCACCCCTGGGCAATGCCACAGGTGCCAATTATATGGCCACGCAGCAGCCAACTGCTCCGCGGCCCCGAGGTGCGTTAAGTGCCTCGTACCCCACCTCACCAAGGAGTGCTCCCGCACTCGTGACACACCCGGGGCACCCGCATGCGTGCTCTGTGGCCAAGAAGGCCACCCGGCCAATTACAGGGGCTGCCCGCGGGCCCCACGCCCCAGGCCCAACACTCACACTCGCACACACACAAAGCCAACCACGGCGCCCAAAACACACCCACCACCACCTAACAACACCACCACAAACTTCCCGGGGCTACCCAAGGCGGCCGCCCCTCGCAGCCCGGCGCCCCCGACAGCCTGGGGACCAGCCAGGGCCCGCCCAAAACCACACCCACCACAACACACCACACCAACAACACAAGCTAAGCCAGCCCAAGACGTCTCTCTGGCCGAGGACATGGCGCTTATTCGCTCCTCGCTCAAGAGGGTGAATATCGCCGAGATCCACACTCTCGCCGCGAAGCTCCGGCTAGCTAAGACACCCCTTGAAAAGGCTATAGCTATAGCCGAACACCCCGAACTCGTTGCCGCGTTCGATTAATTTTTAAAATCATTATAACACTGGAAAATAACCAGACTCCGAACACAAACAAAAACACTATACACAAAACACGCGGTGATAACTCAAACAAACACCATTGTTGTTTAAATTATGACCGCGCAAAACACTAACCTAACAATTACACAAACAAACCCCGGGCGTACCAAGCCGAAAGGCGCTTCGCTTGTGTCATTTAATACGCGCAGCTTAAAATCCAACCTTAACGAAATTAAATTATTTTTGCAAGATAGGGAACCCGACTTTCTGCTCCTTCAGGAGACTTGGCTCAAACCAACTCAAATGAAGGGGCTGTCGATCCCTAAGTATAAATTAATCCGGAACGACAGTGCCAACGCGCGCGGCGGCACCGCAATTTACTATAGACGCAACCTACACTGCACACCTATACCCACTCCCGCGCTCACAAACATGGAAGCCACCATCTGTAGGCTGGCGATGACAGGACACCAGTCCTAAATCATCGCCTCAGTCTACATTAGATCAGGTACACACCCTCACCGCGCAGACTTCGAAACACTCACTTCACTAGGTACATCAGTCATAATGTTCGGTGACTTTAACTCCAAACACACCGACTGGACATGCGAGACCACCACCACCTCTGGCCGCAGATTACTACACATCACCGAGGAGCTTGGCTATGATGTCATCTGTCCCTACGCGCCCACCCACTACCCAGACAATGTACAAAACCGACCCGACGTCCTGGACTTCGCGATCCTTAAAAACGTGTCGCTTCGCCTCAGCTCGATCGAAACGCTCGACGACCTGGGGTCAGATCACAGACCGGTGTCTCTAGTTCTAGGTCCCCAAGACCCACTAGACGCCCCCGCGCCCCCTAAGAGGCTATTCACCAACTGGGACGGATACCGCTCCGCTCTCGAGACCGCTTTAGACTCCCCCGAGTCCCCGTTCCCTAACTCACCGGACAGTCTCGACAGCACCGACAAGATTGACGAAACAATAGACTCTTTAACTTCACTGGTGACCGAGAAGGCGAAGGAAAACTCGCGGGAGGTTGAGCTGCCAAAGCCCAAGCTCCCGCTGGCCATCCGGAACCTAATCCAAGCCAAAAACGCCGCTCTCCGGAGAGCCAAATTATACCCCACCCCCGAGTATAGGGCTACAGCTAATCGCCTTCAGCGACAAGTTAGGTCCCAATTAGCCGCTCTGAGACACTCCCGTTGGGAGGAACTCATGGCGGACATTACCCCATCCCATCTTGCGTACTATAGAATCGCGAAAGCGCTCCGTAGCGACGTCACCACTCACACCCCCCCGCTCACTCGCCCCGACGACACCGTCGCCTTCGAAGACGACGAAAAAGCCGAGTGCTTTGCAGACAGCATAGCGGCGCAATGCACGCCTAGTACGCAGGAAAGTAACCCGCAACACATTCGCGGAGTGGAGGAGGAGGTCCGCCGGCGGGCCGCCCTTCCACTCATTGACAACCCCCTAGACCCCGTCACGACAGACGAACTCAGACAGACCATTAGAAACTTTAAGCAACGCAAGGCCCCGGGTGCCGACGGCATCTCTAACAAGGCGCTCAAGCACTTTCCCATCCAAATGCTAACCTTGCTTGCAATTCTCTTTAACGCATGTTTTGATCTGTGCTACTTCCCAGCCGCCTGGAAAGAAGCAATAGTGATAGGCATCCCCAAACCCGGAAAACCCGCGCACCTCCCCAGTAGCCATCGCCCTATCAGCCTCCTCAAGGCAATGGGGAAACTTTTCGAAAAGACTATACTGACCAGACTAAGAGAGCACCTCCTATCACCATCCGATCCAATCATCATTGACCACCAATTCGGCTTCAGAGCCAAACACTCCTGCCCCCAACAGATCCATCGTATAGTGGAGCACGCCCTAAGCGGCTTCCAACTCAATAAATATAAAACTATTGCAGTCATCTTCGACGTCGCCAAAGCCTTCGACAAGGTTTGGCACGACGGATTAATCTTTAAACTATACAAATTAGAATTACCCGACCGCCTAGTTAGGTTAGTAGCCTCTTATCTATCAAACCGTACCTTCCGCTATAGATACGAAGGTTCACTATCTACGCCCCGCCCACTACGAGCCGGTGTACCGCAGGGGTCCGCTCTCTCCCCCCTGCTATACACAGCGTACACCAATGACATCCCTAAGACCAAGGGTGTCGAGCTCGCTCTCTTCGCGGACGACACGGCCCTCTACTCTAGGGGAGCCAGTACTAATCAAATCATAGCCAAGCTCCAACCGGCAATCACAACACTTGGGAATTGGTTCCGCGATTGGAGGATCGACGTAAATCCGGACAAAAGTTCGGCCATTTGCTTCGATTCCAAGCGCCGCACCAAAACCATACAACACGGTGCGCGGTCTCTGCGAATGCAAGGCATCGCAATACCGTGGCACCGCACAGTCAAATATCTAGGGATCACACTAGACAAAAAACTCACCTTCCGTACACACATCACACGCGTAGTCGCGAACGCGCGCTTTTATATGAGCCGCCTCCACCCGATGCTCGGTAAATACAGCAAAATGTCACTCCGTAACAAGCGAACGCTTTACAAAGTTTGCATACGCCCGGTCCTCACTTACGCGTCACCAGTGTTCGCACACGCGGACGAAGCGATTTTGAACAAACTTCAAGTGCTTCAAAATCGCTTCTGCCGCATAGCCACAGGGGCCCCGTGGTACGTCCGCAACGCTCAGTTTGGCATCAGTACGCACGAACCATTATCGAATTCTAATAGTTTGCAAACCGAAATGTCAATCAAATTTTGTATGAAAATTAGCGCCATATCGTACGTAAAGAGAACTAAAAATCAGTACACATTTGACGATGACATTTCTTAATCGCAAACGATACGAATTCGATTTTGGTTCGTGCTGAGGGTACAGTTCAGTCCATCAGTCTGGTAAGACTGACGCCAGACTGATCGTTTAATGCGTTGACTGATGGACTGTTAGGGTGCGGCCAGAGTGCACTCAGATTCAGATTCAGATTCCGAAAACAAGCGCGAGAAATAAGAAATAAACAGTGTAGTCGAAGGGTACGGCCAGAGTGCACTCCTGATTCAGATTTAGATTCAGACTCAGAAAACAAAGCGCGAGAAAAAGCAGGCAACCTGCTTAGATTACACTGTTTATTTCTCGCGCTTGTTTTCAGAATCTGAATCTGAATCTGA